CCTGTTACTTATTTATCCATTACAGTCCACTAGTTTGCCTCTCACGGAAACTGGGACTGAGTGAGTCGCCGCAACAACAGATCTTCACGAGAGGTAAAAGCAAATCGAGGCTCTGCTCAGTTCCAACATTATCAGCCCGTCGAGACAGCAGCTCAGCAACAGGCCACACGGTGCCAGTAGCGGCAGCAGGCGATAAATCGGCGCCATGTCCAAACACTGACGTAATTCATGCCGAAGCCATATTGCAAGCGGCTAGTCGTCTTCTTCTACACTCCTCCTTACTGACTCGCTTGGCAGCTCTTCGGTGGATCGAGCTGCTTGTAGAAGTGCGTCCAAGAAGCATGTTTGCCAGGGCAGGCGACCTGTTGCCGTTGCTATTGACTCTTGTCTCGGATCCTGCCGATGAGGTATAACACTCATGCAGAGTTATTCCTAAAAATCTATTTGTTCTCTCCATACTGAGTGTTATTTCGATTTTAGTTGGTATATGAACTCTTCTGTTCTATAAGGCATCGACACACAAAACACACTTTCTTATATTCTGTAAAGCACCAAACAATCGGGGCGATTATTTGCTATTTAAGTTAGTAAGATTGTACGAAACGATTGATTGTAGCTTTCAACCCCTCTCTATTCTGTATTAGCTGTCCAATTATGCAACTAAACCTTGAGTAGAGTATACCATTTGGCTTGTGGTATGGGATTTCATTAGACCGACCAGTCAAACAGTAAACCTCGGCCAATTCAGCCCCACCTGTAAGAGACAATCTAAGCCTAGCCTACCAAAAACAATCTTGGTTCTCTTTTCAAGTCATTCCTTGAATGAGTATTTTTAATGGACACTGAAACAGTGAGCATTGGGTAATTTGCCAATTTCAATGTGTGCACGCCATGAGGCATGCAATGACAGTCTCACAGATATGTTTCAAAAATAGATTAAATGATTCATGTTGGCGTGCCTTTCATTTTGCTTAAATGGGAAAGTAGGAAGGTCTTATCGAAAACCGAGAGAGTTAGGACTGAATTTGTGAGCACAGGTCTTCGGCACACCGTTCTCTTTAATGCTTACGTGATACTAAATACTGCTCTTTATCTTATCCTTCAGATGCTTTCTGCTTATATTAATTTGGTATCCCAAAAATACATCAATCGAAGTTGCAACCGAATATATGCTGTTAAGTTTCTAAACTTTGCGATGCCTAATAATTATGCCTACACTGGGAAATAATAGTATATATTTTATGGATTGGCTCCTGGAAGATATTATAAGTAAGATCGAATGGCAGGTTCTTCCTCAAATTTACAGTTATGCAAAGATACCAAATGAGAATAGTGAAAATAATGACATTATAAGGAAACTTGTACTATCTGAGCAAATATTTCTTAAGACAGAAAAAATAGGATAAGTCGTGTGGAAAAAATCATTTGAGTTATAGAATGTCTTTAAATTATAGAATTATAACTAATTATCTCACAGAAAGACATTGAATAAAAGCAGAGAAATGGTAAATGAACGCTTTTCCTTGGCGAGATTTTAAGCCACCAATTGCTCAAAGCTTAGAAGGGCTCCTTACTTAGAATAATCGTGAACACTAAGGGTTATGGTGTCTATAAAAAATCACGATTTATTTGCAGCCAGTTATATCAATCTCCTAATGTTAGCAGTCCTCGGCCATCAATTATCATAACTGTATTACTTTGGAACAGGGAGATTTGCCTGTATGTGCTGGGGCATTATAAATAATCTTATACCAGCATCCAAAGATAATAAAATGATGAAAGTTACGCAAAGAGTCAATCACAAGATTGGCAAAGTTAGATTAACCGTTGTCCTGATCAGTAAAGGGAACAAATTTGGTATAGATGTGCATAAAGAGCTCCGATTTGCGCGTTTCCTTCAATCTAATTAATGGAAATTAGAAGTCTGCGTCTAGCAGACATGACTATTTGGGGTCAAGAGTTGAAAAGGATAAATAGAACATTTATGCATTATGATTAATTCTCAATTATTTCTCATTATTACAAAATTGAGTGGGTAGAAGCTAGGGCAAATCAAGGAGTTGAGGAGCTCTTTTGGTTACTTGATATTACCGTCCTGTCAGTTGTCTAATAGGACAAGCGAATTGCTGAGGAAATGGGACGTTAGAACAATGCATATAGAGAGGAATACATCTTCCTGGGTCACCCTTTCTTTTCTTGAATTTTCGATTTCTCCCCAGATTATGCGGTTATATGGTCTTGTGCTCATGCAACAGCGTTTCTTTCGGAGATTCTTTAGCATATAAATGAGTACAATCAGTATATTATATAGCTTGGTCTACAAACCAAGGTCTTGTGGAATCTGGAGATCTTACGGCTAAGCGGAAGATTAGTGAGTCACCTTTTCACTCACTCACGTCACACGCCCAACTCTTGCTTCTACAATCAGTGATCTTTGTCTGATTCGTAGAATACTCACATATACGTACAAGAGATCACCTGGCATGAAGAAGATTTTTTTACCTGGAACCACATTTCCGCTCCGCAAACCAGCAGTATTTCTAAACGTAGATATGAATACCAAGGTGTTGCGGTCTCTCTTTTGATCACAACCTCCTTTCGCTGTATAGATTTGGCCTGACCTCGTTTTCGCAACTTGGTCGTGTTGTTAGGGCGACCTGGTTTGACACTCCTTGTCTGAGCTCAATCGTATTTATTTCGTTATTCTAATCGATGCGGCCAACTTATAGTCGCTATCACAATCTACAGCATTATTATATTCCTAGTTATTATCAGAGCTATGAAGATCAAAATGGTGCAGTCTTTGGTATGGTCGAAGTCTCCTTTCGATGTATAAGAGTGACTTGATCTCGTTTTCGCAACTTGGTCGTGTTGTCAGGGCGATTTAGTTTGACATACCTGGTCCGAAGGCCTCTGCTATAGTGGTAATCACAATTCCCAGCATCAGACCGTGGACTTGGTGCATTCCCAGACGTTTTGCCGGCCCCATAGTCGACATCGTCATTGAGTCTTGCTATTCTCAGCATCGCTTCCAACTACAACTCGTCAAGGATATAATTGATATCAATCCCTTGACGAGCCTTCTGCAGAACAGTTATGCCATCATTCCTCTGTGTCCTGGCCCCTCTATACACTCCCCACCCTCTTATTTCACTCTCGCCATATCATAGCTTCTGACTTGTTAATATTCCACTCCTCATGAGGTGTGCCTATTGCAGAGGACTTCGGTCAAGGTGTATCTAACTGAGCCTCTATTTCAGCACGACCAAGTTGCGAAAACGAGGTCATACCACCTCTGTAAAGCAGTATTTCTGCTCGTTTGATGAGTCCTCAACCAACTACAGTAAAGATTGATTAGCTCTGTTCCACCGACTCCTAATTTTGGTTTCAGTCGTCAGCGGCCTCCTTATCTCGGGTCCTATTTTTGGTCTCGGCTTTGGTTATCAAGTCGGCATCAAGTTACATAAATATGACAAATCGGTCTAAACATAATTTTGGAACGACTAGACACTTTTCTTGAATTTACTCTGTCTTATTCATGGTAGTCGATATTTGAAAGTAGACCATAGTTAACCATCTTCTTAAACCTCATCTTCTCCTCATTCAATTAATGTGTTGATATGGTATAGCAAACGAAGCTGCGGTGGACACGCCTGGTGATTTGACAAAGGGCAAGTTTTTGCAGAAAGTGAAATTCCTCTGCTCTATTAAGGGTTCGCTATTCCACGAAAAAGG